CGACGAAGCACTATTTTGCCATCACCTGATCTCCTCAGACCTCTTTTATCCGCCCGGTTGGCGCCGGGAAGCGCAGAACCTGATGGTAGATCGATGCTACGGCTTGCATGGCGTGCAACCAGTCCCTGCCCAAGATTAAGTTATAGGTTGATGGGAACTTGAGCACCCAGAATTCAACTTGCTTTATGACCGAGCCCGCCTTGACCGGCAGTATGATCTTTCCTACCGGCCATTCTGGTTGAGAGTTGAAGCCAACCAGAGGAGACGTTGTAGGGGCCAAGTCCTTGTCCTGTAACTTCATTTGCTTGAACGCGTCGTAATACATGATCTCGACCGAACTCCCCTGGTCAACCAAGATCCTCTTGATATCGAAGTCTTTGACGCGAATAATCACTATTAGAGCGTCATTGTGGGCATCTGAATTCTCTCCAAGTCCTTACTTGAGAAGGTAAGGATATCATTTTCTTTGGTTTTCCCTTTCTTCACAGCGGGCTGCACAGAGAGCACTTCCCTCATGTGCTCGGCTTTCTAAATCATTCCTCTTAGCTCACAGACCCTTGCCGGTTCAATGATGCCATGGATGACATTGATTATGCCTTGGGTTGCTGCCTCAAGGGAGGCTAGGCCGTTTGGCTCGGTTTTGCCCGGTGGAGCAGCTTTCATACCCCCATCTATGTATTGGTCAAGATGTCCCGCTGCCACCAACTCCTCTAAATGTTGTTTGAACGGAAAACAGTCCTCCGTTCGGTGCCCCCGTTCCTCATGGAAGGTGCAGCGATATCTTGAGTTGAAGCCTCTCTATGCACTCCCCAACTTGGCCGGCCAGCGGATGAAAGGCTCACCTCAGATTTCACTCAGGATGCGGTAGATAGGGATTTTAAAGACCGTGGTGATACCGGTTTGTGCCTTCAATTTTCTCTTAGCATCTTCCTCCTCGTCACGGGGAGCGCTAGCTCAGTCGCTTCTGCGACCTTGGTTTCTATCATCGCGGTTTGATCCACGACGTTGATCTTTTGGCCGGTCATTTGGGTGGTTGTCCTCCTGCCTAACCGAGTGAACCTTCCCCACAACCCTCCTGTCCGCAGCGATCGGATTAGCCTTCTCGGTCGCAGAAGCGGCATCATCCTCCACACAAATGTGTTCATTGATCCGTTGCATCAAGGATTCCACGGTTGTGGGCTGGTGCATTCTAAGCGAATCTCACTGCCTATGTCCGACTGGGAGACCTCGCTCGTATTGAGTGATCACCAGATTGGTGGGGCAGTCGATGATCTCATTGTACGTTTCCTAGTGCTTCGCGTTGTATGCCTTCAACGAATCCCCAGACTCCATCTTGACGCCCAGAAGATGATCAACCTCCTTCGGTGTTCAAGTGTTGGTTTTGAATCTGGTGACGAAGGCCTCCGCTAATTGCTGCCACCCCTCGATACTCCCCTCCGGAAGCCTTTCGAACCATTTTAGGCCTAGTTCTCCTAAGCTTGCTGGGAATATCAGGCACATCAAAGTGTCATTCCGCCGGTGTCCAGCCATTACTTACTGGTAATGACTCAAGTGCATGTATGGATCTGTTTTGCCGTCGTACAAGGTGAACTTAGGCTGGTGGAATCTGGTAGGAAGTGGTGTACTCTCGATTTCTGGAGACAGCGGCGTAGCCGTGAGTCTCGCCAGTTCTTTGTCCACTAGCGCAGGGGCCCCTACCCTGGGCGCTGGTATTGCCACTTCCTCACTACAATGGATTTGGGTGCTCAGCCTCTGCAACGCCGGCAATCTCCGAGTCTCTCTGTCCTCTCTTTCAACACGTTCCTCAGGTCTCCAGAACGGGTGGAAAAAGAGTATCGCGACGTCGACGATGGGCGCGAGGGACGGTAGGTGCTGTCGCGAGTGAGGGACCTCCCTTCCCTTGGATCGGAGTCTCCAACTCCATAGTTCCTGGTGATAGAGAGAGTGCATTGTTTCCTAGCGGCGACTGCTAGAACAAGGAGATGAGGTGCGCTCACTGAGGTTGCCCTCTCCAGTAACACCCTTCCCCTTAATCTGGTGTTTCAGCATCTCCATCTCAGCCGCCATCTTACGAATGAGGGCGTCCTGGTGCTTGAGTTTGTGCTCCAAGCGCTGTACAATGGACTCCCCCCGCCGTCGACGGCCCTCTGGACTCTTCGAGCGATCAGTACTCCTCCCGCGTTTGTCTCGTGCACCTCTCGAAGAAGTCTCGAGGCCCGCCATGGCTGGAATATTCGGTGGGCCTTCTCTCCGCCGGATAGACTCTAGTGTGACACCATCGACGACGGACAGTGGAGTTTCGTCGTTGTTAGCCATGGAAACGGTCGAAGAAACTTGAAGAGCAAGGTTTGTGTATCAAATGATTCCCATAGACAGCGCCAATTGTACGAGGACGAAATATCCTTTGCTTTCCGTACTCCTTGAACTCAAGCTTCACGTAACGACATTTGACCTGGAACAAAGAAATGGTGAGCTGCCCGGCGGTGTGTTGTCGGATAGACCCTCCGACGATCAAGTCAGATCACTTGAAGAAGAAGAGAGATCTTTTTAGAGAGAGAGAGTTGTTGAGACAACTTACCTCCAACGTTCCTCTTTCTTTCTTTTTCTAGGCTGGCCATGCAGCCTTAGGGATTGTGCGCGCATTACCTCTGTTGTCTTTCCCTGGACACGTGGCAGTGCTCGCCTCTCACCACCTTACGCGTGTAAAGGCCAAAACCTCCAAACAGTACATGTAGAACTGCCAAACGGTATTGACGCGTGCTTGGAGCGGGTTTTGGCCTCCACCATATCATTGGCCCAGGTGGCATACTCAACCGAGATATCAAGACCGACCTATCCCCTGAAGAAACACAGCTACGGTCAATACGGCCGAGCTGTAAGAAGTCGGTCCTTCCGGACTGACTGGCCGTGAGGCGCACCGGCCTTTACCCTGGTCTAAATTCATTCTGGGCCATGCTTGGTTCGGTCCCAGTCAGGAACACGAATGCCCAGCCGAACGCCTAGCCGAATCATAGCTCGGTCAGGAACACGAATGACCCCATGCCCCAGTCGACTGATCCAGCTCGGCCCTGCATGACAGCCCGTGGAGCCGCCCTGACAGAGCAAACAGTCCGGTCGTGATAACTTGCGTTAGTGTAGCTCGGCCGTACTTATCTCGGCGCCATTCCCCCTCTCACATAGCATTACTGAAAAAGTAGTGAAATAAAAAAAAAAATGGCTTACCACTAACTACTAGTATGTCCCTTATAAATTGGATGTACCAATGCTCAAAATGTAGCAAAAATAAAAAATAAAAAACCATACACCTCTCTAGCTACATATAAGTATTAAGTACTATATGATCATATACCTCCATATGAAGTTTTTTTATTTTTTTTAGAGGGCTCTATATGAAGGTTGATCAATATGACATTGCAATAATACATGGTACATGAAAAAACGTACTTTAAAAAATATGTATTAGACAGACAGACCAATATACATGACAAGGATATTTTGAATCTCTGAAGTGGTTACTGCCACATTGGTGCACAATCGAATAAGTTGGTTAAAAATTATTTTTGGTAGGTGATCATAAAAACAATTGATTTTGGTAATTAGGTATGAGGTTTCTTACAAAACTGAAGCAAAGATATCTTGTTAGATCACTAAAGCACATGGGTCTGTCCAATATTTGCCTCTGTCATGCTTTGATTTTTTTTTTAGATTCCACAAGAAAGTGCTACATATTTATATAGATTTTGTGTAAACATTTAAACAAGTGGACATATATTACTAATAAGGATGATAATGAGCTGATGATACTCTGTTTCACTATTTTTCCTGTTTCTTATGTTCCAAATATTTTTTAACTCTTATTTTGTGATAAAAAGAAGACCAAAAAAGATTGAGACAGATGATTTGCCTGGTTTTTAAACAGGTTAATTTAGTAATTTTTTGGTTTTTTGGCTGAAATATAAGTTAAAAAAAATTAGTATGTTTGGGATGACTTTTTGACTTTTTACGAAAAGATGTGTAAAAAATAGAAAAAAAAGAGAATCTTTGACTTTTTAGTATAGATTGTTGACTTTTTGACTTTTTTAATAACTTTTTAACTTTTTGACTAAATTGACTTGTTGTCAAACGAGGCAGTGAGTATTTTCATAATTTGTCATTTGTCATTCTTGTTTTGGGTTGGAATTTTTTTAATCCACCTCATCCTAAGAATACCCAAACTCACCCTGTGTACCCGCTCGCCTGTACACAAATTTATTCCCAAGACGGGTAACTTGGGTTAGGCTACGCTACCAAATTATTTCCTTTTATCATAATTTTAAAATTAATTCCATTCGCATTAAAATAGTATAAATCATACTTTAATCAATGTTACAAACCATTAGTAAAGCATAATAATAAAACAATTCAAGTCTTAAAATATAAAAAGCATAAATTCAATATTACAACAAAATTACCACTAAAAGACATCAAACCCAAAAATTTAATAATGTAGTTTATATATTGTTTAAAATTATAAAAGTGAGGGTAAATTACGTTGACACCCCTGGAGGTTTGGTCCTATTACTACTCACCTCCTGACATTTTGGAAATTATATTTACACCCTTGTGGTTAATAGTCTCATTTCACAAATCCCCTATTTATATAAAAGGTAACAACTCCTAATAGAAAAATAGAAGAAATTACATTTAAAAAAAAAGTAAAAGAAAGGGAAAAAAAAAGAGAAAGTAAAGCAAAGCAAAAAAAGAGATAGTGCATGAGTTCAATATCTTCATTTCGTCTAAATAATTACAATGTCGGAGGGGGTTAGTGTAATTTCTCAAACGTTAGGGATGATATGTGTTAAATCCAAATCTCAAGAGGTGTAAGTGTACCTTACCCTAAAAGTAAAATTAAATATTTTTTAATAAACTCAGACGGGGTGGAATGGGGAGCAAACAAACTACAATCCAAGCCCAGGCCTAAAGTTTCCACGGCCCAGAGAGTGCGGGCCCAATAGTTCCAGCTCAAGGCCACTACTATTAATATCCATCCCTCTTTGCTAAGAGACCAAACGACACCGCTTCGAAGCCATTCTCTCTCTTTCTCTGAAAACCCTAATTTCCATTCTCAGATATTCACAAATGGGGAAGACTAGTTCACTGTAAATTTTCAATACGATCACAGATTTGCTACGTTTTTGTTTTTTCAACACGTAAATGGAAAAAACTGGTTGATTTCGAATTTCTGTTTATTTTTTTAAATTTTTTTTGATGCAGATCGGAACAGTCGACCCATGCGGATCGCAAATTTGAGAAGAAACTCCAGTTCTATGCTAGTAAGTTTATGAAATCGAATTCAAAGACAGTATTGTCTACTCTTTTAATCCAGCGTTCGCAATTGTTCTATCAACATTTGAATTTAAGTTTAGTTTTTGTCAAATTCAAATCCACTTCTATGGGAATACAAAAATCTTGTAAGCTCTTAATGCTTATATAGAGGTTTCAAAACTAGGGTTAATTCATAATGTAGTTGTAATTGAAGTTCTTCCTTATGAGTGCTAGTTGCTTGCTTATATGAGATTAATCACTAGGATGCCGAACAAATTCAAGATGTGGCGTAATATTTGATAGTAGAATGTATGGTTGTGATTGGGGTTAGTGTAGAAAATGGGGCACAATGGAAATTTAGATGAAGAAGTTTGAAGTTTCCTTTTGATAGTAGAACAAAATTGAGCCTTTGAAGATCCAAAATAAAGTTCAATACTAATAATCTTTTGGGTCGAGGGATGCCAGAATTTAGAATGGAGACTTTCCGAAGGTGAACTCTATTAATTACAACAGACCAATTGAATTCCATGGTACACATGGATCAAAGTAAAATAAATGAAAGTGTTATGAAAGCAAGCACATTTTTAAAGCTCACCTAGGCATCTAAAGATCATATGTCATCCTAGAATAAAATTTTCAGATATAATTTCATTATTGTCAACAAAGAATGAGTTTCGTTACAGCTGATTTTCCGTGCTTCAAATATGTGCTTTATGTCACCTTTCTTGGTTATAGTCAAAAGCTTCCCATAACTCTTTTATTGGTAATTGTTTTTACAGAGGTTAGAGATACGGTTGCTTCATTAGGTGCCCAAAAGGCTATCGGCAAGGTGAGAACTTCTACTATTTTATCTGTTGATTTTGAAACTCTAATACTAGATTGACCTCATTTTAGTTTGGATAATTTTGATACGAGTAATGCTATACAAATAAAAATTTCATACATAATGATAGGGCTAATTATGGACCATTCACTTCAAAACAAAATACCATTGAAGATGCATTTATTTACAATAATGGCATTGCTACGTCATTCTTGTAGGATTTTTTGTATGAATTTTATGTATAAATAGAATTTTCCTTTTGATATATACTTCACATTTTTTTCCAAAAAATTGTGGTTGTGGTTTGCTGGTGCTTCTTCTTTATCAAGGGACAGTGTCAATCGCAGTACAAATAGTTGTTGCTTTACTGCTTGAACTGGATTTAATTGGGCTATTAGTCTTCTTATAATGATTTATTCATTGAACACATAAGTAGCATTTATAGGATTTCCGTTGTCTACTTTCATTTGTTTCTAATAGCAACAATGTTCCCTCGAGTAGTTTTGTTCTATATGATGGATTCTATGCTATGATGACTTTCCTTTTGAATCTAATCAAGATGGTTGCTTTATCTATGCATCTTCAAATGCTTAGTGGACAGAGGATCACATGGAAATGAATTTGTTTCATTTCGAATCCTGTGGCATTTCAGCGGACTATTAAGTAACAAAATTAAATAAATAATAATCAAAGTAGAAGAAAATGAGATATCACTCAGTAATTGATTTCTAGTGATGATAAAATATTGAGATTGCATCCATTTTCTGGTCATTTGTATCCATTTTCTTGTGAAGATTAATATAAACAAGTTTTCAAAGGATTTTTTTTAAACTTTTTTTTATGTATATTCCTTGACAATTATTTGTAGTCATCACATGGAATGCATCTTATAATTTCCAAATTCAAATTTGCATGGTTATTTTTTACATCTTTAAGTTTTGGAGGGACTGTGCCTTAGTGGTAGTGTAGCCTGGAGATGATAAGAATCTTATAATTACTATCCAATAGTTTATTTCAATGATTTGTAAAGGTAGGTCGTGGTTATTCTTATTTCCGTAGTTTATCATCACTAAATTCAAATGATTTATACAGTAGCTTTTCTTCCGTAAACATATGCAAACATAAACATTTTATTAGGATTTATGCTATCCGTTTGAAACATGCTCATATATTTTGCTGCTGAAAAAGTAATTTCTTGTTCTACCAGAAGAAAAAAGTCAGAAGCCGAAAAAAGAAATTGAAAGCATATGATCTTACAACTCTCTCTGAGTTCCTTCCTGACTTGAAGGCTCCAATGCAACCGGCTCCAACTGAGTTTAAACTGAATAGCAAATCCAGGCAGAATCTAGTGTGAGTGCTTCAATTCCATCACTCTTCATTCCCTTACTCTCTCTAGTTCTCCTTGTTATAGTATCATCATGATTATTATCATCATTCCATCTTTATTTTGTTTTATCAGACTGAAGGAAGCAAATCAGTTAAAGACAGTTCTTGACCATCCTGCCTTCCAATCGGACCCATTGGCTGCCATTCATCAACACTTGCAGAGCACTCAACCTGTTACCGACGTGACACCAGGAAGAAAGAATGTCAAAAGTGAGAGGAAGAAGAAGGCGAAGAAGAAAAAGCCTAAAATTTCAGCTGGGCCTCAATCTATGGAGATCTGATTTTGTTTGTGGCTTTCATTAACCATGCTGGTCCATGGATGATCCTCAACCATTTCATTACTCGATTTTGAATATGTTTCTGCCCCATATCTTGACATCAAGGATGCCTTGATAGTAGATAATCAGTATGCCCCAACTTTTGGAGTTTTTTTTTTGGGTGGTTTATTCAATGCATCAAAAACATATAGGCTGTTTTTGGGAAGTTCTCAAAGCTATACAAATTTGGGAAGTCCTCAAAGCTGTACAAGTCAGATATTTGAACCCGGGGTTAGCATCTTAAGAGTACGAATGTGATGTAAGGTGGCCATTATGGATCGTGGTTAATGTAAGAAGGATCATGCTAATAGAATGTTTGCCTTCTTAGCTATTCTGCTTGTGCTATTTTGTTCTCCTAAATTGTTAATTAGCCTACTTTCCCTGCGGAGAGAACAAATTCATTATATTATATTCAATAATAAGGATCTGGGAAGTCCTCAAAGCTGTACAAGTCAGATATTTGAACCCGGGGTTAGCATCTTAAGAGTACGAATGTGATGTAAGGTGGCCATTATGGATCGTGGTTAATGTAAGAAGGATCATGCTAATAGAATGTTTGCCTTCTTAGCTATTCTGCTTGTGCTACTTTGTTCTCCTAAATTGTTAATTAGCCTACTTTCCCTGCGGAGAGAACAAATTCATTATATTCAATAATAAGGATCACAGGAAGACTCTCAATGCAACCCTTTTTCCCTTGCAATATTTTGAGTATACAGTAAAATACAGGAATAGCATATGCTGATAGCTATTCTGCTTGTGCTACTTTGTTCTCCTAAATTGTTAATTAGCCTACTTTCCCTGCGGAGAGAACAAATTCATTATATTCAATAATAAGGATCACAGTAAGACTCTCAATGCAACCCTTTTTCCCTTGCAATATTTTGAGTATACAGTAAAATACAGGACAACTCAAACACTTTTAAAAAGACATCGAATCACCTGTCCACTACTGGCATCATAAACTGCAAGGCCCCCAATAAAGACTGGATATAGACTATCCTTCTAGCATATGCTGATAGCTACCAGATGAGTGTGCCCAACCAGTATATTGAAAGATCCAATCTTTCTTGTTTACCATTTTTCTAAAAACACTCATAATTGTGAAGCATTCAATATTATACTTCAGGTGGATATATATGCTCATTGATCTAGACCAACAGTGAATTCCATCAGAACTCCCCCATAGTGGCATGGCATTACATGAATATTGTTGTTGTACATTCTGTAGTGTGGTAATTTTTGTTAGCACTGAGACAAAAAATTACCCAAATCAACAAGAATGTAAGCAAGAATATCTCTATCAAAAGCTCCCACTAGCACCAAGCAAGAACTTCGAAGTGATCAATTCTCAGAGGCAGATTGGAAGATAAATATTGCTGTCAAAGAGCCCACTAATGCTGTAATTGCCAGGGCTGGTGTTGGTAAAGGAGCTGTAAGCCCAAAATTCTGCAATATCAAAATGAATACAACACAGTAAATCGAAAATGAATTAAAGTGAATCGCAAAATTTAAGATTCAATAAAACAAATCGAATTGTTTTGGTTGAAACTTGTATTGAATCCAATCGTGAATCGTAAGATTCTAACCATCATGCCTGAGTGTGTTACTTGAACAATTAATAAACTTATTTTTTTCTTTTCCGCATTTACACCTCCATGTTGAAGATTTTCGTCAGTAAATTTTCTTCTCTCATTCACAGGTTTGTAATTATTTTTAATGGAGAAGTTACTATTGAAATAATGAAGTGTACCAATTACAGTACAAGTTCTCCAAATTAACCATATTCAAATGATATTAATTTGAAACCCGACAATCCATTAAGAGAAGGGAGCAGAGTAGAAAAAGGTTCATCCAAGAGGATGGGTGGTCATTTAATTTCTGTGTCATCTCTTCACAAACAAGGACACATGAAGAATTACACAAAATTGTCCTACTAGAGATGAAAAAGAACAAATATGAAAATTAGAATATGAAAACCAAGTTATACATTCAAAACCAAACTTTGTTACTCCTGATTGGTATGTGTTTATTAGTGCTATACCTCTAGGAGTCCTTTGCCTGTTGCTATTTCAACACTAATAACCGCTGCAAAGCCTACCATTGCCATCCGCCCTAGCCATACATCCAAACTATTGCCCTTTCTACTCTGCTCACACCTTATGGAAACTGATGTTGCTTTGTATGCAAACTTCCTTCGATGAGTATTTCTCAATATCACTGGAAAAAAAGAAACACGAACCCATAATTCTAAACGACTTTTGGCAAGAATATTCATGCTATGTTCGATCTAGGCTTTGATGAGGGAGAGGAAAAAAGTGAGAAATGAAATTAGAGAAAGAAACAAACTTTCAAAAAATTTAAAGCTATGATTTGGAACTATACACACACACACACACACACACACACAAAAAAAAAAAAAATGAAAATCACAAAAACTTAAGAACTTTGCATTGCTGATCATGAGTCTATATATGATTTTGGTTAATCATGCCCAATTACGCAGCAGTATCAGAATCTCAGAATGTTAAATGTTTGAATCTATAAATCCTAGAAATATATAAAGATTTGTAATGTTTATAATCTTAAAAGTGCTTAAAAAACTGCAGTACACCAATTTAATACTGTGTTCTGGGGTTAAGAGATTTATCTCCTGCTGTTGAAGTTTTGCAACATTAATAAAATAGATTTTTTTGATTAAGAGAAACTGTAATGTAGCATGTTAATATTGATTTCATTTCCACGAATCAAAAGTTAATTTATTCATGGATTTATGCAATTATCTCTATACTCTGGCGGTGTCTTTCCATTCATAGTGCTTCATCTCCTTGTATACTTCTACTTCATGATGAAGAACACAACTCGCATATAGGGTCGACCACTTAACTGGTCAAGCTTCGTTTAAAAACTTTAATAAGTTTCATATTTGTTTAAGCTTAGTTTGTTAAATTTTTTAGCCGATCTCAAACAAGCTTTTGTCAAGCCAAGCTGGAATAGTTTGATATTTTTATATAGTTTTAAGTTTATTGAACATAGCCGAATGAGCAATTAATTATTTAAGCTTGGTTTGTAAATTTTAACGAATTACAAAATGTATTGAAGATTGGCTTGTTTAATTAACGAATAGAGCTCAAACGAATTTTTAAGAAGTCGAACACAAGTTGAGTAGGAGCTGTTTGGGTCGTTTATCTAAAGAATTTTGAGGTTTTGATGTTGTTTACTAAGAAAAGCCTCCATGTTGTTCCTACAAGACTTATGATGATTTTGATATTATTTACTAAGAAAACCCCCAGATAAATTTGGTTCCTACATTTAACAGTGCATGAATTGGAATTTAGATCTCCATTTTGCAATAAAACTACAAGTAGCCAAATCTTCCATACAAGTAGAGAGAGAAAGAAAGAGAGAAGAAAATTCACTGTGAGCAGTTAGAAATCAGCTTACAGAGGGGAGAACCAGTGGCGAAAGCAGTCCCAATTCGTGTTTGTATGATCGGAAAAGTAATCCAATTGGTTCTTGATGATCTCGAAGACGCACAAACACCTGCAAAATCGATGAATTTTCAATACATCTAAAGCTCGTGCTTGTATGTATGTATATATGTAGAGAGAGAGAGAGGTACCATTGATGGAAGTATAGAGACAGGAAGAAACTTGATTTACTGCCATGGAGAGAGAGAGAGAGAGAGAGGGAAGGTGCTTGCTTAGGTCATTTGAACGTTTTCTGTTCGCTAATAAACGGCCGTATCCAGATTCGACTCCCTAATTCCACTCCCAATTTTGCTTCTTCCATGCAAACTCAGCGTGGAAATAGCCATCCCCATTTTATCCAACAAAACTAGCCAAGAAGACTCTCACTCAACTGTCTCTGTAAACGAAGCCAAAATCGCCACCACCACCACCACCATCGCCTCCGCCGCGACGATCTGGTGTGTTGGAAACCCTAGCTCTGATGTCGACTCTAATGCCAATCAGGACTCACCAGCTGTCCCCAGCGCACCAATTCAAGCAACGCTCTCTGTCTCAGACTTGTTCGGGTTCGTCTTTCTTGAGGCTCAGAGCTCCAAGACTGCTTCACCGCAATGGCGTTCTCGCTCGCGCCGAAGATAAGGCTCGAGACTCATCGTCATCATCTCCTTCGTCGACTCAGCAACAGCCCCAACTCAACTCCGAGATTCAAATTCTGGTCCTTAACACAAAATTCTCAATCTCTGGTTTTGTCTCTGTACATGAATCTTTGAATTGAATTGTAGTGAATTTGGCATGATATTGATTCTTTTCGATATCTCTTTTTGTTAGTATTGTGTAATTTGCTTTTGGTTTACTGATTCTGAAACAGCTGAATGGTTTGATTGAATTTGGAAAGAGTATTATTTAAAGCATGTTTAGTTAATTACTGTTTAAATACTTTAGCATCTCAGACCATCTTCAATCATTCACCAAATTTTTTATCTAATTTGATTTCAAATTTGAGTAAAAGGCTTGATTTGATCTACTCCAATCCTTTCATCAACTTTCCATCAAAATCTTTTAAAAAATTACATTCTCATCCCAAATTTCACTTTTCATCACATTTAATGAAAAAAAAAAATCATCTACAATGCTTCATCTTTTTAAATTTTTATCAAATTCAAATTTGATAAAAAAAATCACTCCCCCTTGATTTGATGAACTTTTGATGAAAGGATTGGAGATGCTCATATCATGTTTGGGGCTTATTCTAGTCTACTATTTTTAAGAGTCAAGTTTTGGTTTTGCTGACGTTTGTGAACGTGGCATTGCTTCTAGTCTTCCATGTTAAAGGCATATTCTGTATATCACAGTGAAACCGCAGAGACTGTTGACGTAACCCTAGTTTTAGGATGAACCACGTAAATAGTGTGTTTTTGTGTGCACATGTGATTTATAATTGTTGTTTATTTGTTTTCTTTAGTTTTCGTGTCTCGTCAATCTTGTTTAGGGTTCTGCAAAGTTCTCCAACCATTGTGAAATACATATAGTCTGTCTTTTTGTTTTGTGAAAATGAAAAATCGTTTAAAGGCAGGTTCTTTTTAGTGGGAAACCATTTGAGAAAGGAAATGTGATCGATTATGCTATGGTCATCATCATTGAAATTGCGATACTGCTTTGTTACATTACTCAATTGTTAATTGTAGAAGATACAACTAAGAAAAGGAGCTATGCATGTAAACTGAATGATTAGTTGTATTTGATTTTAATTTGAATGATAGTCTAGAGTACTGACAAGACCTATTGATTACCCTAGCTCCATGTGCTTTTAACTTTTGCTACAAATGGGAACTTTCCTGATCTTTTAAAGCCTTTGTTTTATTCAAGCAACTTCTCTTGAAAAGTTGTCTGTTATATTGAACTGCCATTATGTCATATAGCAACACTATGCACACTCGTTCACCATCTTGTATCCTTTCTGCTAAAAGTTGTACTTCATGTTAATCTTTAACATTAATCTTTAACACACCATCAGGAGCTGATACCATCATCTGGAGGTTGTGATCCTTTGTGTTCAACCGATGAAACAAGCTCAATGGATTTTGAGGCCACTTACAAGCCAAAAACTGATTTGCAGAAAGCTCTCGCGGTTTTTGCAGCTGCTGCAATGGGGGCAGTGGCAATTAATCAGTCATGGGTTGCTGCTAATCAGGTCCTTCTTTATCCCATTCCTTGATACCATCACTTCCAAGTTTTTGGTGATGGCTTCAATAAATTCAGGAGAAAAAATGCATGACCCTTCAGCTGGTTTCTCATGCCACAGGATGTTGCTATGGCACTGTTATTTGTAATAGGATATACAGGCATAATTTTTGAAGAATCTTTTGCCTTCAATAAAAGTGGAGTTGGATTATGTATGGCTGTGAGTTTGTGGGTTGTACGTAGTATTGGGGTAAGTTTTAGATACACTTCTTCACCAATTCAATGATATCTGCTTTGTAGATAATAAAATTTTCTGCTGTTGTAGAACAATATATGCTTTAATGCTTCTTCATTGATTACTCCTCCGAATTTTTTTATTTATAATATATCGCCGGATATTGGTTTTGTCGTTCGCATATTCATTCTCTGTTAATATTGTGCAAGTTAATTTAAGTTGTCTCACTTTGTTGTGCAGGCTCCTTCAACTGATATAGCCATTTCAGAGTTATCACATGTATCTGCTGAGGTCAGTGAAATAGTATTTTTCTTGCTTGGAGCAATGACCATCGTGGAAATAGTCGATGCTCATCAAGGATTTAAGTTGGTTACTGACATTATAACAACTCGAAAGCCGAAGACTCTTCTTTGGGTGGTCAGTGCTCTATTTCTGCCATTATAATGGCATTGATTGGTCCTCTTTTGATATACTCCCTCCGTCCCAAAATAATAGTTCTTTTGGGGAACCTAACTTTTTTTGGTAGTACAATCATTGCACTTTAAAAAAATTGATTTTCCAAAATTACCCATTGATAGTACATTTTTTAGGGAATATCAATTGTCATAATTGTACTTTTTATCTTGTTAATAAATTTAAAAGAAGGCAAAATAGGAAATTCATATTATTTTTGCCCTTGATTTTTGAAAAGGGACTAATATTTTGGGACAATGAAAAATGGAATAAGGGACTAATATTTTGGGACGCAGGGAGTATGTGTTTTAAACTTATCCTTGGGCAAGGTTTAAAAAATAAAATTAATTTAACATTTTTTCAGTAGCTTCAAAGCCTAAATATGTACCGGTGTTTTCCCTTTAGAAGGGGGAGGGTACCTATCTTGTCATCAAATTATTTTAAAAACTGGTTCAAAATATAAAAACCACTTCTTGTTAAAAAAATGATCAGTATTGCACCATTGTTTAGTTTATCAAGTATTGTTTTATCCACGATAGTTTTCTAAACCTTGAGACCAAGTTCCATTTTGCTTGTATTTCTAATTTTTAATCCATATATGTTATTTTTCTTTTTGCTTTTCCTTGCTGATGAAAATGTTAATTAGATGAAGTATCACTGATTCCTAGTTTCTGTTATAAATCTGTACCAAATTCTGTGTGTGTTATGTAGCCTGGCGCCTAATTTAAAATGTACTGCAACCTTAAGACCCCAACATAGCTCTTGCTGAGATTAATTTTTTAAAGTTTCTGCTAGATTCCTATGATGGCATTCTATTCTAAATTGCAACTAATTCATCCTATGTGGCATCCAGAAGTAACTATGAGACATTTTGGAACAAGCACTCTTTAAAACTATAGTTCGCTGTATGTGTTTTAGATTGCTCATGATCAATGGTAGCTTGAAGTGCCAGTATTTAGTTTAGCATAAGCATCTTGTAACTAGGAAAATCGTCAGATGCTAACAACATTTTCGTTTACTAGTGAAATTGTAATACTCATGGACTAATGAGAAAGCAATTTCTGGGGGTGACAAGGAAAATTTAAAAAAGCTAGCTGTAGAAGATCAATTCATTTTAATTTCTCCTATGGTAGCTTGAGAACACTATAGCCCCTAACATTTACTCTTAAATTCAGCATTAGGTTTTGGCGTTTGACAATTATTGATGATGATTGCAGGTTGGTTTTGTAACTTTTTCCCTCAGTTCGGTCCTTGACAACCTGACATCCACTATTATTATGGTTTCCCTACTGCGTAAACTAGTACCCCCATCAGAATACCGCAAGTAGGTACCCGGAATTGTGCAATGATTTCTTATCTTATTAACACTATAAATGTTGCATGATATAGTTCTCGCATATTGATTGCTGGGAGTCATTGTCATGTTTAGTCTCTTATATGATGAAACTATGGCGGATATCATAATAGTTAGGCCAATGGGGGTTCAACGTCTTCACTACTAAGATGAATAATTGAGAAATTTTGAAAAACTTGAAGAATAAATTTGAACTCCAACCCCCAGCTTAAAAGCTGGTCATAAAGTTGACTAAATCATCCAAAAAGTGATATATAGTTGAGTAGTTTATAGAAGGGTAAAATGACTAAATCATCCAAAAAGTGGTATATAGTTGAGTAGTTTATGGAAGTTCTTTTAGCCTGCCATTGATCAAGTAGAATAGATAAATCAGAGTCATGTAGTGTTGAATATAGAAACCAAAATATTATGTTTAAATATGGAAATTAGAATAGGAATTATTTTAATTATAGGAATCTTACCTTGTGTATATTGTTTCCTAAATTGTATCATGAATATATTATATATACATGGCCTCTACCTCATTGATTGGTAAGCCAAATAATTCTTTTGATTCTTTTTGGTATTAGAGCCTCCCTAGCCGTCTTTCTCTCAACCACCCATCACCACCAACTGCTTTTTTCGTTCTCTCTAGCCTCCGACAGCCCTTTCTAACTCCTTTTCTCCCTCTGACAGCCTCAACCTAGCCTTCGCAGCTCCTCTCCTTCCTTGTCTTCACCTCGGTAGGCCTTCTTTATCCTTGTCGAGGCTCTGGTTTCTGCCGACTAGACTTGGTTTTGGTCTTACGTGCTTCGGCTGCCTCTATAGGTGGTTCATGGCTGTTGTTTTCCCTTCTTTGGGTGATTGGACTGATGTATTAAGCCCCTTTGTCTGTCCTTTTATTCTTTTGGATTACTGAATTTATTCGGTAGTATCTATTTAGATAAGCCGTTGAGTTTTTTTCGGCTTCTTATTTTTTTTTTTTGGACTGTGTTGCTGTCTTTGTGTGTTTTTTAGCACTGATCCATCCTTTGCTGATATACCCACCAAGCTTGTTCCAAGTAGTTTTGATTTTTCTCTCTCTCATCACACTTCTATTCATCGTATTACGAGTGTGCTGCTGAATGGGAAAAATTTTGTGGTCGGGGAGCCGCTCCCTCGTGGTGCTGGCACCCCTCGCACTGCGGCTCTAGTGGGTTACGCTACTCCTGCTCTTGGGTCTCCTCATCTCCATAATTTACAGGAGTTACAGACTCAGATTGGTTAGCTTCATGCTCAGCTTGGATCTCTTACTGCCAATTCTCTTGGCCCATCATCTACCACTGTTGCCACCCTTACAACAAGTACTTCTACTGCTTTTCATGTTTGGTCTGCTAGTCCCTCATGGGTTCTGGATTCTGAGGCTAATGATCATATGACAGGTGAGTTTTCCTTTCTTTTTTTTCCAGTCCCTACTACTATTTCCCAATCTGTGTGTCTTGTTGATGGTTCATTATCCTCTGTTCGTCATAAAGATGTAGTGTTTTTTATCTCCTACCATTATTTTATCATATGTTTTACATGTCCTAAATTTTGCATATAATCCCTTATCTGTTAGTCGTCTTGTCAAACAATTTAATTGTGTTGTCATTTTCTTACCCTCCTCTTGCCTTTTCGAAGAGGATTTTTGGCAAGAGCTATGAACGTGATGGGCTGTACTACTTTGGGTATCCACCGGACGAGCCTTCCTCTTCTTCCTTACATTATTTCTTACATAATCCCTTATCTGTTAGTCGTCTTGTCAAACAATTTAATTGTGTTGTCATTTTCTTACCCTCCTCTTGCCTTTTCGAAGAGGATTTTTGGCAAGAGCTATGAACGTGATGGGCTGTACTACTTTGGGTATCCACCGGACGAGCCTTCCTCTTCTTCCTTAATTAGTTTTCAGGCATCTGTTTTGCCTGCTTCCATGTCTTGTGTTTTTAATATTCAAACTTTAGAATTATGGCACACTCATATGGGTCATGTTAATTTTCAGTATTTATGTAAACTTTTTCCTTCATTTAATAAAGCTTGCAAAGATTCTAAGTTTCATTGTGTGGTTTGTGAGTTGTCTAAGTATACCCGTACTAGCTATATCTCTCATATGACTCGTGCTCTTAGTGCTTTTGATCTTATACATTCTGATGTCTGGGGGTCTTCCCCTATCACTGCTTTTTCTGGTCATAGATATTATGTGATTTTTATTGATGATCACACTAGGTGCATTTGGCTTTATCTAATTTGTCGTAAGTTTGATGTCTTTTCCATTTTTGTCCAATTTTTATAGATGGTTAAAACTCAGTTTCATGCAGTTGTTAGGACTATCTGTTTTGATAATGGTGGGAAATATATTTCTAATGCGTTTGATTCCCATCTTAATCAGACCGGTATTCTTCAACAACTTACTTGTCCTCAGACCCCTAAACAAAATGGTGTTACTGAACGCAAAAATCGCCATATTATGTCTATTGTCCGGTGTCTTCTTCGAGGTATGGGTGTTCCCAAGTCTTATTGGCATATGACTGTCCTTACTGCTGTTTACCTCATTAATAGGACCCCTAGTCGTGTGTTGCATGGACTCACTCCGTTTCATACCCTTATGCCCACCGCCACTCTGTTTCCACTCTTACCTTGTGTCTTTGGGTGTACCTGTTTTGTTCAAAATCGGAGTCCTGCTCGCACAAAGTTAGATGGCAAATCTATTCGTTGTATCTTCTTAGGGTACTCTTCCATGTCCAAAGGGTACAGGTGTTATGACCCTGTGTCTGGTCACTTTCCTACACTTTGGATGTTACGTTTTGTGAGGATCTTCTTTTCTTTGATACTAATCCTTCTTTGCAGGATTCTCCTCTTGTTACTTCCACTGTTTGCCCGGTGACCATTTTGGATGAGGTTAAGAATAAGGCTGTCCCCCTTCCTCCTTCTCAACCTTCGGCTCCTCCTTTATTGCAAGTATACTCCTGTCACCCACACACTCACCCCCTTTGCCGCCTCTTTGATCTCTGGGTCAGGTAACTCTTCTCCTTTAGCTTCTTCTTCACCTCCTTGTCGTAACCCACATCGGGATCAACATCCTCCAAATCGTTTGAGTTATTTGAGTAGTACTTATCATCCTATTTCCTAGTATCTTTCTTATGACAAGATTTCCCCTTCTTACCATTCTTTTTTTGGCAAGCTTAAGTCGGAGTCCATTCCTTGTTCTGTGTCTGAGGCCTTTCAGAATCCCAAATAGGTAGTGGCTATGCAAACTGAGATGGCGGCCTTAAAACAGAATCACACTTGGGATCTTGTACTTTTACCTCCTAGGGAAAGCACAGTTGGTTGCAAATAGGTGTTCACTATAAAGTACCTTGCTGATGGCTCAGTTGATCGTTACAAAGCCCACTTGGTGGCCAAAGGTTTCACATTGATTCCTGGCAAGGATTTTGGTGCCACTTTTGCTCCTGTTGCCAAGCTTACTTTTGTACGTCTCCTCATCTCCCTTGCAGCATCTCCTTCTTGGCCTCTTCATCAACTTGATGTCAAGAATGCATTTCTCCATGGAGATCTTCTTGAGATGATTTATATGGCTCCTCCACCCAGTTTTCGGGCTGATGGGGAGTATTCGAGGAAAGTGTGCCGGTTACACAAATCCTTATATGGTTTGAAACAGTCTCCACAAGCATAGTTTGGTCGCTTTAGTTCTGTTATTATATCTATGGCCTTTGTTCAGTGCCACTTCGATCACACTTGTTTCATTAGTCGGAATTCTACAGGTCAGTGTATAGTCTTGTTAGTTTATGTGGATGATATTATCCTCACAGGTGATGACTCTGTCGGCATTGGTCAAGTAAAGGTGGTCTTGGGCCAAACTTTTGATATTAAGGATCTAGGATGTGTCAAATATTTTTTGAGAATTGAGGTGGCTTGCTCAAGGGAGGGGATCTCCTTATCTCAAAGAAAGTATACCGTTAACTTGCTTCAGAATACTGGTACGTTAGGGTGTAAAACTGCTTCTATTCCTATGTATTCTAATGTCAAACTCACATCAAAGCCTAGTGAGTTGCTGGTTGACCTAGGCATGTATCAAAGTCTTGTTGGACGCTTCATTTATTTGACCAACACTAGACTTGATTTGACATTTGCGGTTAGTGTTGTGAGTCAGTTCATGCATGTACCTCGTAAAGAGAACCTTGACGCGATTTATCATATTTTGAGGTATTTAAAAACTTCTCCTAACTTGGGATTGTTCTTTACTGCTGGTCTCCAATCTGGGTTCTCCTATTTCATTGATGCAAACTATGCAGGATCTAGGATTGATCGGCGTTCCACTTTTGGCTTATGTACTTTCTATGGTGATCATCTTATCTCATGGAAAAATAAGAAGCAAGCGGTGGTTTCTAGGTCTTCTGCAGAAGCTGAGTATCGGGTTATGGCACATGGGACATGTGAGATTCTTTGGATTCGCTTTATTCTAGCATAGTTGGGTTTTGAGGAGACCGTTCCTTCCTCTTTATTTTGTGATAACAAATCTGCCATTATGTTATCCTCTGATTCTGTACTTCATGAGCATACCAAGCATATCGAGGTTGACATACATTTCATTCGAGAGAAGGTTCGGACTGGCATTGTGCGTCCATCCTTTGCAAGGTTTTAAAAAGCGGCCGCAACCGTTACGTAACGCCGTTACGTAATGGTTTTGGTGGTTACCGCCACCCGTTACGGCTGCTTTTGCAGTGTGATTAAGATTCACAGGTGTATCAGTCGTAGCGGCTGCCGTAGCGGTCGTAACGGTACTGTAACAGCTGTAACGGCTTATTACGCACCGTTACGTAATGGTTCCAAACTGTTTCTTTCAAAAAAACACACAAAAAAACTGAAAATGGGGAAAGAGGGATAGAGAGAAGAGGGAAGATAAAGAGAGAAAATAGAGGAGCAAGAGATAGAGAGAGAGAGGAGGGAAGATGAAGAATATATTATTGATTTGTTGAAGCTGTAAGACCTATACTATTCTATTCAGCTGCTATCACTAAACCATTTTGTTTGTGTGTGTCTATCTATATATTGTTTGAAAATAATAATAATAATAATAAGCGTGGTCATTATCTATTTGGCTTGGTTAAAATATGTGTATATATATATATATATTTAAGCTCTTATTTATTCTCTTACTTTTGTCATTGTTTATCTTATATATATAGTTAGTGATTGATTTTTTGTATAATATAAAGTCATTAATTATTAAAATAAAATGTAAAAAAACTCAATTTATAGTGATTTAAAAATATGAAATATATTGGATCATATTTAAAAATTTATAAAAATTGATCAATATTTATTTTTAATCCAATAAATATGATCATGGAAAAAAAATATGTGTATCGGTAAGTTTTTTTCAAATTGTGTGAATAATAAAAAAATTCACGGTTCCGGTTACTGCAACCGTTACACTACGGCCTTTACACCCCATAACCGCAACCGCGTCACCGCCACCGTTACGGCGACCGCAACCGCTTTTCAGAACCTTGATCCTTTGTCTCTTCTTCTCAGCAGTTGGTAGATATATTCACAAAATCTGTGGGACCAACTTTGTTCCAGTCTTCTATTGACAAGCTGCGTTTGTTAAATATCTTCACACCAGCTTGAGGGGGAGTGTTGAATATAAAAATCAAAATATTATGTTTTAATATGGAAATTAGAATATGAATTATTTTAATTATAGGAATCTTATCTTGTGTATATCATTTCCATTATAGGAATCTTACTTTGTATATATTTGTTTTCTAAATTGTATCATGAATATATTATATATACATAGCCTCTACCTCATTGATTGGTAAGCCAAATAATTCTTTTCATTCCTTTTGTAGTCAACCCCAAGTAGTTCAGACAAAGCTTTGTTGAGTTTGAGTTTTATCCTATTCACCATTTTCAAGTTCTAAACTTGAACTCATTCAAACTTCTGTATTTTACTAGAAATAATTTTACTTTTATTGAAACATAAAACCATTTCTCAAGAAGCCAGGGAAGAAGACAATGATTAAATAGAATTGAAAAATTAAACGAAAAAAAAAATGCCGTAGTCTAAAACCTAGACCGTTGGTCTTTGGATGGTAGTTCTACCAAATTTGTATCACGCACTTGAGTGGCTCCCAGAAGTTCATGCTTTGACTGTAATTGTTGGTTGCATATTGTGGGTGTCAAGGAAGTTGTTGTTTTAGTAGGCTATTTTAGTTTTTGGCTATTTTAGTAAGTTAAAATTTGTGTGTTTGACAAGATAGTTGAATTTTTTTGTAATTGGATGTGATGTCTGTGAGAGAAAAAATGAAATGATTATGGGTTTGATGTGACATTTTGTCTTATTAGATATTTTAACCTATTTTGCCTTTTTGTAAATTTTAGCCCAAAAAGCCAAACAATAGCCTTTGCCAAACACCCTCATTGTATTGTCTTGAACTTTGTCAACCAGTGTTTGCTAAGGGTTTGTTTCATAATCCTATTTTGAGTGTATTTGAAATTTGAAACTTTTGAGTGGTTTTGTTTTTAAAATTTTGGTTGAGAATACATAGTCGGTACCACTCAAAATTTTAAAAATTCACCAAAAAATAGTATAAATTTTTAAGTCACAGAGACTTGTCTTATCGTTCAATGTTGAATGCACTCAAAGCAAAAATGAACCTCAATACACAATTCTTATCTTTAAATTTTAAACTGTAGTACAAACTAAGTAAAATAAAGTCTGCAGAACTAGTAATTCAGCAGTAAATTTTCAGCATTAGATTTTCTATCAATTCCTTTGGCAAAGCTTTTTTAATGTGTTAATATTTCATTTACAGGCTTCTAGGGGCTGTTGTTGTGATAGCAGCAAATGCTGGTGGTGCATGGACTCCAATTGGTGATGTTACCACTACTATGCTGTGGATACATGGTCAAATATCTACAGTGCAGACAATGAAGGTCTTCTTATTGTTCCGACGCTCTGATCATTATCATTAATTTGCTCCCATATATTCATCTTTCACGGAATGGAACAATTTTTATAATTTCTCTTTGCTTACAGGACTTATTTATACCTTCTGCAGTTTCTTTGGCTGTCCCACTCGCTCTTATGTCACTTGCTAGGTACAACGTTGCTCTTCTCTTTTTTTCCTTTTTTCGGGAACGACTAGGTACTGTGTTGCATAAGTGAAGTTACAGAATCTTAAATTTAACTTTGTGGATTGTAAATGAAATCAAATGAACTTTTCATTTGTCGTTCAGTGAAATGAATGGGAAGGGACAGGACTCAACCAATGTTTTGGCATCTGAACAGATGGCACCTCGAGGACAGCTTGTTTTCTCCGTTGGAATTGGAGCACTAGTTTTTGTCCCCGTGTTCAAGGCTGTAACAGGTTTGCCTCCTTACATGGGTATGCTGCTTGGACTCGGAATTCTTTGGATTCTAACAGATGCTATCCATTATGGTGAATCCGAAAGACAACAGTTGAAAGTACCCCAAGCTTTATCACGAATTGACACCCAAGGAATCCTATTCTTCCTTGGGATCCTTTTGTCTGTCGGCAGGTATGCAGGCATCACCATTTAAAGTTCTCAACTGTTACATCCCATTAGTTTAACAATTGTAGAAGATCAAGGTTAGCATTTTAAGAGATCAACATAGAGAAACAATACATCACATTCTCCCTCTTAAATCACCATAATTGGTAATGTCTTACTCTATACATTCTCATTTCTATTTCAGAAGAGAAATATTTATACTTTGCACAATATCTGAACATCTTTATAGGAAATTATATGTAGTACTATTTTAAAAGTACTTTAATTGCCATTTCCACATTTGCATCGTCCTTGCTGTTATAAAGAATTGATCAAATTGGTTCTACAGATATGATTTTTATGACAATGGAAGAAAACCGTACTACTTGATTCTCTGGATCTTAAATGTTCATTTATGTTATTTTTTGTTTGTATATCTGATGGTATGTCTTCTGGTTTAGGAGAAGTGGTTGTACCACTGAATAATTGGCTAGTTTGAGTTCAATAATCTATGAATAAATTCCCATCAGAAACCCAAAATCTTTAGAACTCTTGTAAGTGGAAGCTTTATTTTTTGTTTGTATTTCGGTTTTTTATTTTTAAGATTCATGAATGAATAAAAGGCTAAATCTGTAGTTAGAAGGGATTGCAAGTATGTCACCATTGTTAATTGTTATTCTAGTGAAGCCTCTTAGATTATTCCATTTCTTTCTCCATGACTTTTGAATCCTTTTCTATATAGCTTGGAGGCAGCAGGGATTCTTCGGGAACTGGCAAATTACCTTGATGCCCATATTCCAAACGTTGAACTGATTGCAAGCACAATAGGTGTCGTTTCAGCAATCATAGACAATGTCCCATTGGTCGCAGCGACAATGGGAATGTACGATCTCACTTCCTTCCCCCAAGATTCGAAGTTCTGGCAGTTGGTTGCATATTGTGCCGGTACTGGTGGGTCCATGTTGGTAATTGGCTCTGCAGCAGGAGTTGCGTTTATGGGAATGGAAAAGGTGGATTTCTTTTGGTACTTGCGAAAGGTATATGCCACCTTTCAATCGCGTCCGTCGATTCAAAGTCTGTTTTTCATGTCATAATAAGATGAAACCGATCTCTATTTTTTTGCAGGTAAGCGGTTTTGCTTTTGCTGGTTATGCCGCTGGCATTGCTGCCTATTTAGCAGTTCATAATCTCCATCTCTCTCTCCCAATATCTCTAGCTCAGGCCCCTTTCCTTTCAGGTTCATAAATCAATAGTGAGGGCAGTGCATTTGATGTAATACGGATATTCACAGTGGCTTGATCAAGTGATATCTGAATCAGTAGAATGTTCAGGAACACAAAGTATCATATGTATGCAGAAGTTCATGTAAAGAAAGCATGGAGAGAATAATTGATAAAGGTTTTGAATAGATGTTGTGGCAAAAGTTGAGGTTGGTAAGAGATAACGACTTCGATGATTTAAGGCTTTGTTTGACTTATTTAGTTTTATTTATTTTCATCTGAAATTTTTTATAAAAACATTATATTTAGTTCAAGTTTGGCTATCCTAAATAAGTACATACTTTTTATCTTTTTATCTTTTTTCCATCACATTATCTCTCTACTTTTCTGCACATCTTTTCATAAAAAGATAAAAAAATACACTTATTTAGATCATCCCAAACAAACCCTTAATCTTTTACTTTATAGATCAGTCTTTACTAGATGAACTTGGAAACTAAAAGAAAAAAAAACTATTAAAGACAAAAATATGTCAATTTTGGGGAAAAGAATTTAAAAAGGTTAATTCAATAGTCTTTAAAGAAAAATTTTATTTATTTATTTTTAAAAAAAATTTAGGTCATCAAATCATGATGGGCCTAAAAAGTTTTTCAAAAAATTGACATAAATGTAAACATATATATATATATATAATCACTAAAAATGAAAACAATCTAAAAAACAAAAATTTTGGTCCTATTTCTATTACTAATAATTATAAAATGTAAGGGTAAAATTATTGTTCAGAGGTCAAATATCAGTTCACCAAATCCATAGATAGATAAGCTGCAGTGATGAAGGCTTGGGTCTAGAGGTCTGATGTTTGAAACTTTTAAATGTAAATAATTTCTTGAGCTTTAATTAGAACCCTACAAGTGAACATAGAACCCTGCAAGTGAACATAGAATTAGTCTCCCCAATTAGTTAGTCTAATGGACCAGATACCAAGTTAAAAAAAAGTCAGTTTCCTGCATCAAATACATTTCCATCACCACCTTATTTTAACCAATAGAATCAGCCAGGCATCTAATAACAAAATGGAGTTCTAAAAATAAAAACCATCATATGGTAAAAAACTTTCCCATTTTTTGGTTCCCGGGATAGACAATCACAGCTCCATAAAGTACACTCACAATTGCACAGCAGCCTACTACAACAAAACAGAAATGAAGATTAATCAAAATTGGGCACAAAACAAACATGCAGTGACTATAGATATTAGACACCTCACTACAGCTTGAGGAAAACAAACTCTTCAATGGCCGAGATCTCCCCGATCCTCTTCAAACACTCCTTGTTGGGTTGCTCATCCACTCCAATCGCCATCACAGCTTGCTTTCGCGGAGCAATTCGACCAACGCTCATAAAGCTCACGTTGATATTCTCTTCGGCCAATATGGTTCCCACCTTGCCAATCATACCCGGCTGATCAACCTGCCTGCAGAAAATAATACTACCTTCCAAGCTCACATCAACTTCAAAAGATCCAACTTTCGTCAAATGTGGAATCCCGTCCTTGACCCGTCCCTCCACTGTAATATCCCCAGACTCTGAAATTGCACTGGCAAATTTTGATTCCACGTTTGCAATCTGGACCTGGATGGACTTGAGTGGACTTTCTGGTGAACCATCTAAAATTATACGTTCTTCGGATATCCGAAGACCTCTCTGTTTAGCAGTGAAATCTGCATTCACCAAGTTTACAAAAACACTGGATATGGGCTCAATCAGACCCTTGGTGGTCATGGCTCGAAGCAGCCTTGTGTCAAGGTCATCGGGAGCTCTAGCAGAAGCATACGTCACTTTCACAGATTTCACACCGCTCCCACCTGCCACTAATTGGACAGCTAGTCTACCAAGTTTCTCAGCAAGTTCAACAAATGGTTTGAGCTCTGTAAGCACCTGCAGTTGTGAGGAAAAAAATCATAAGATTAAATTGAGTTTTTAATGGTGGAACAGGGGGGAGGGGAAGTACTTTGTGAATTATATTTTTCTTTTGGGGGGACGGGAATTTTCAACAGAGTAAAACAGAGGGTTGGTTTTGAAAATTCATACTACATTGGATCAGCAGTCCCCAAATTAAGTAGCTACTAAATGATAAGACCAGAAATAATTTAATCATATACAGACATCAAAAAAATCGATCATTTTCATGCACAAACAAGCAGAATAGCAAATTGTTCATCCAGGAGTAAATTGTCAAAAGTCCTTCCATTGCACAATAAATAAAAAAAAAAAAAATTCTAGTTAGTTAGATTACTGGATAAAAATTGTTGATACTATTATAAATAACTCGAAGCATCAAAAAAATAGTTGGTTGATTATGTTGAGATTTTCTTGGATATAACATTCTACCTCACTATGACACACTCACTTATCAAAACAAATAAATCAATAAAAAGAAAAAAATTAGAGGTGTAGAGCACACACCACTGTAAAAATGTATGGTAAAACAAATGAACTGAGGAAATTAAGTGCAGCATTTGGTTTAGAGAAGATATTGTAGGCCTGATAATACTCGGAATAAAGATGTTAAAAAAAGAAAAATCCTGATACCTCATACATACCTCGGCAGGAACCATGGGCGCATTGACTGCAGTAGCAGCAAGCTCCCCTCTTAAGGCTCCAACAACAGCTTCAGCTACTTCAATTGCCACTCCTTCCTGCACATCAAACCCAAATATTAAATGATAACATGATGTCAAAAAACATATAAAGCATGAACAGGTGTCAAGTTTTGTCATTTTAACACACCTGAGCTTCCATAGTACTGGCACCAAGATGCGGGGTTACAGTTACGCTATCATGTAGTATCAATTTGCTGTCTTTTGGTGGTGGCTCTTCAGTGAAAACATCAAGGGCAGCCTGCAAGAAAGAGGAATGTTATTCACTTTCTTCCACAAATAACAGATTTTTAGTGGTTTTTGAGCAAGAAAGAACCTGAGCAACAATGCCCGCATCCAGTGCCTTCACAAAAGCTTCTTCATCAATTACTCCCCCACGAGCAACATTGACAATCCGAACTCCTTTCTTCATCTTTGAAAAAGTTTGGTCATTGAGAATTTTTGATGTAGCAGAAGTGAGAGGCATATGAAGTGAGATGAAATCAGCAGTTGCTATGGTGTCATCAAAGCTCACAAGCTCCACACCTATAGCACGGGCGCAATCTGCTGGGGCATATGGATCATGTGCAATCACCAGCATACCAAGCCCCTTGGCACGCCTGGCAACTTCTGATCCAACCTTTCCAAAACCCATCACAGCAAGTGTTTTGCCAACAAGGGACACCCCCACATATTTGTTCCACTCCCACTTCCCTGTATTGGGCCAAAATATGATATATTAAGAGGATATAATTTTTCTAGACTGTTACTTAGGCCTCCAATGGTTCATCTTTTTTTTTTTTTCCCCCACCAAATTTGAGTAAAAATTTAAGTAAAACCTTCTTTTGATATCAACTGCTTCAACGGAACTTCATCAAACCACCGGTCGACTGGGTGGGTGTAAAGTCGGTAGACCAGCTAGTGTAAATTTTTCGCAAATTTTTGTCTTGCGGTGGCATCTAGGGAGACATCCAGTGGTGATAAGCCATGTTACCAGATGGCTCCAAAATCATATCATAAAAGTCTAACCCTTATTGAACACGGATCTTGATTGAACAGTATGAAAAGTTTGACAAATATATTCGTTCATTCTGAAGACTTCAAAAAACAAAAGAAAAGAAAAAAACACATAAAACCATTCAACATGTCCACTACGCAGAGCTTAATAAGATATTCCCACAAATTAAGAGTCACAAATAGAACTAAAGAGGGAAGTTACTGAGGTTTTTTTCCTTTTGTAGTCAACCCCAAGTAGTTCAGACAAAGCTTTGTTGAGTTTGAGTTTTATCCTATTCACCATTTTCAAGTTCTAAACTTGAACTCATTCAAACTTCTGTATTTTACTAGAAATAATTTTACTTTTATTGAAACATAAAACCATTTCTCAAGAAGCCAGGGAAGAAGACAATGATTAAATAGAATTGAAAAATTAAACGAAAAAAAAAATGCCGTAGTCTAAAACCTAGACCGTTGGTCTTTGGATGGTAGTTCTACCAAATTTGTATCACGCACTTGAGTGGCTCCCAGAAGTTCATGCTTTGACTGTAATTGTTGGTTGCATATTGTGGGTGTCTAGGAAGTTGTTGTTTTAGTAGGCTATTTTAGTTTTTGGCTATTTTAGTAAGTTAAAATTTGTGTATTTGACAAGATAGTTGAATTTTTTTGTAATTGGATGTGATGTCTGTGAGAGAAAAAATGAAATGATTATGGGTTTGATGTGACATTTTGTCTTATTAGATATTTTAACCTATTTTGCCTTTTTGTAAATTTTAGCCCAAAAAGCCAAACAATAGCCTTTGCCAAACACCCTCATTGTATTGTCTTGAACTTTGTCAACCAGTGTTTGCTAAGGGTTTGTTTCATAATCCTATTTTGAGTGTATTTGAAATTTGAAACTTTTGAGTGGTTTTGTTTTTAAAATTTTGGTTGAGAATACATAGTCGGTACCACTCAAAATTTTAAAAATTCACCAAAAAATAGTATAAATTTTTAAGTCACAGAGACTTGTCTTATCGTTCAATGTTGAATGCACTCAAAGCAAAAATGAACCTCAATACACAATTCTTATCTTTAAATTTTAAACTGTAGTACAAACTAAGTAAAATAAAGTCTGCAGAACTAGTAATTCAGCAGTAAATTTTCAGCATTAGATTTTCTATCAATTCCTTTGGCAAAGCTTTTTTAATGTGTTAATATTTCATTTACAGGCTTCTAGGGGCTGTTGTTGTGATAGCAGCAAATGCTGGTGGTGCATGGACTCCAATTGGTGATGTTACCACTACTATGCTGTGGATACATGGTCAAATATCTACAGTGCAGACAATGAAGGTCTTCTTATTGTTCCGACGCTCTGATCATTATCATTAATTTGCTCCCATATATTCATCTTTCACGGAATGGAACAATTTTTATAATTTCTCTTTGCTTACAGGACTTATTTATACCTTCTGCAGTTTCTTTGGCTGTCCCACTCGCTCTTATGTCACTTGCTAGGTACAACGTTGCTCTTCTCTTTTTTTCCTTTTTTCGGGAACGACTAGGTACTGTGTTGCATAAGTGAAGTTACAGAATCTTAAATTTAACTTTGTGGATTGTAAATGAAATCAAATGAACTTTTCATTTGTCGTTCAGTGAAATGAATGGGAAGGGACAGGACTCAACCAATGTTTTGGCATCTGAACAGATGGCACCTCGAGGACAGCTTGTTTTCTCCGTTGGAATTGGAGCACTAGTTTTTGTCCCCGTGTTCAAGGCTGTAACAGGTTTGCCTCCTTACATGGGTATGCTGCTTGGACTCGGAATTCTTTGGATTCTAACAGATGCTATCCATTATGGTGAATCCGAAAGACAACAGTTGAAAGTACCCCAAGCTTTATCACGAATTGACACCCAAGGAATCCTATTCTTCCTTGGGATCCTTTTGTCTGTCGGCAGGTATGCAGGCATCACCATTTAAAGTTCTCAACTGTTACATCCCATTAGCTTAACAATTGTAGAAGATCAAGGTTAGCATTTTAAGAGATCAACATAGAGAAACTATACATCACATTCTCCCTCTTAAATCACCATAATTGGTAATGTCTTACTCTATACATTCTCATTTCTATTTCAGAAGAGAAATATTTATACTTTGCACAATATCTGAACATCTTTATAGGAAATTATATGTAGTACTATTTTAAAAGTACTTTAATTGCCATTTCCACATTTGCATCGTCCTTGCTGTTATAAAGAATTGATCAAATTGGTTCTACAGATATGATTTTTATGACAATGGAAGAAAACCGTACTACTTGATTCTCTGGATCTTAAATGTTCATTTATGTTATTTTTTGTTTGTATATCTGATGGTATGTCTTCTGGTTTAGGAGAAGTGGTTGTACCACTGAATAATTGGCTAGTTTGAGTTCAATAATCTATGAATAAATTCCCATCAGAAACCCAAAATCTTTAGAACTCTTATAAGTGGAAGCTTTATTTTTTGTTTGTATTTCGGTTTTTTATTTTTAAGATTCATGAATGAATAATAGGCTAAATCTGTAGTTAGAAGGGATTGCAAGTATGTCACCATTGTTAATTGTTATTCTAGTGAAGCCTCTTAGATTATTCCATTTCTTTCTCCATGACTTTTGAATCCTTTTCTATATAGCTTGGAGGCAGCAGGGATTCTTCGGGAACTGGCAAATTACCTTGATGCCCATATTCCAAACGTTGAACTGATTGCAAGCACAATAGGTGTCGTTTCAGCAATCATAGACAATGTCCCATTGGTCGCAGCGACAATGGGAATGTACGATCTCACTTCCTTCCCCCAAGATTCGGAGTTCTGGCAGTTGGTTGCATATTGTGCCGGTACTGGTGGGTCCATGTTGGTAATTGGCTCTGCAGCAGGAGTTGCGTTTATGGGAATGGAAAAGGTGGATTTCTTTTGGTACTTGCGAAAGGTATATGCCACCTTTCAATCGCGTCCGTCGATTCAGAGTCTGTTTTTCATGTCATAATAAGATGAAACCGATCTCTATTTTTTTGCAGGTAAGCGGTTTTGCTTTTGCTGGTTATGCCGCTGGTATTGCTGCGTATTTAGCAGTTCATAATCTCCATCTCTCTCTCCCAACATCTCTAGCTCAGGCCCCTTTCCTTTCGGGTTCATAAATCAATAGTGAGGGCAGTGCATTTGATGTAATACGGATATTCACATTGGCTTGATCAAGTGATATCTGAATCAGTAGAATGTTCAGGACACAAAGTATCATATGTATGCAGAAGTTCATGTAAAGGAAGCATGGAGAGAATAATTGATAAAGGTTTTGAATAGATGTTGTGGCAAAAGTTGAGGTTGGTAAGAGATAATGACTTTGATGGTTTAAGGCTTTGTTTGACTTATTTAGTTTTATTTATTTTCATCTGAAATTTTTTATAAAAACATTATATTTAATCTTTTACTTTATAGATCAGTCTTTACTAGATGAACTTGGAAACTAAAAGAAAAAAAAAAACTATTAAAGACAAAAATATGTCAATTTTGGGGAGAAGAATTTAAAAAGGTTAATTCAATAGTCTTTAAAGAAAAAATTTATTTATTTATTTTAAAAAAAAATTTAGGTCATCAAATTATGATGGGCCTAAAAAGTTTTTCAAAAAATTGACATAAATGTATATATATATATATAATCACTAAAAATGAAAACAATCTACAAAACAAAAAAAAAAAAATCAGCTTATTATGACTTTCACAAAAGCTGTAATTTTGGTCCTATTTCTATTACTAATAATTATAAAATGTAAGGGTAAAATTATTGTTCAGAGGTCAAATATCAGTTCACCAAATCCATAGATAGATAAGCTGCAGTGATGAAGGCTTGGGTCTAGAGGTCTGATGTTTGAAACTTTCAAATGTAAATAATTTCTTGAGCTTTAATTAGAACCCTACAAGTGAACATAGACCCTGCAAGTGAACATAGAATTAGTCTCCCCAATTAGTTAGTCTAATGGACCAGATACCAAGTTAAAAAAAAGTCAGTTTCCTGCATCAAATACATTTCCATCACCACCTTATTTTAACCAATAGAATCAGCCAGGCATCTAATAACAAAATGGAGTTCTAAAAATAAAAACCATCATATAGTAAAAAACTTTCCCATTTTTTGGTTCCCGGGATAGACAATCACAGCTCCATAAAGTACACTCACAATTGCACAGCAGCCTACTACAACAAAACAGAAATGAAGATTAATCAAAATTGGGCACAAAACAAACATGCAGTGACTATAGATATTAGACACCTCACTACAGCTTGAGGAAAACAAACTCTTCAATGGCCGAGATCTCCCCGATCCTCTTCAAACACTCCTTGTTGGGTTGCTCATCCACTCCAATCGCCATCACAGCTTGCTTTCGCGGAGCAATTCGACCAACGCTCATAAAGCTCACGTTGATATTCTCTTCGGCCAATATGGTTCCCACCTTGCCAATCATACCCGGCTGATCAACCTGCCTGCAGAAAATAATACTACCTTCCAAGCTCACATCAACTTCAAAAGATCCAACTTTCGTCAAATGTGGAATCCCGTCCTTGACCCGTCCCTCCACTGTAATATCCCCAGACTCTGAAATTGCACTGGCAAATTTTGATTCCACGTTTGCAATCTGGACCTGGATGGACTTGAGTGGACTTTCTGGTGAACCATCTAAAATTATACGTTCTTCGGATATCCGAAGACCTCTCTGTTTAGCAGTGAAATCTGCATTCACCAAGTTTACAAAAACACTGGATATGGGCTCAATCAGACCCTTGGTGGTCATGGCTCGAAGCAGCCTTGTGTCAAGGTCATCGGGAGCTCTAGCAGAAGCATACGTCACTTTCACAGATTTCACACCGCTCCCACCTGCCACTAATTGGACAGCTAGTCTACCAAGTTTCTCAGCAAGTTCAACAAATGGTTTGAGCTCTGTAAGCACCTGCAGTTGTGAGGAAAAAATCATAAGATTAAATTGAGTTTTTAATGGTGGAACAGTGGGGAGGGGAAGTTCTTTGTGAATTATATTTTTCTTTTGGGGGGACGGGAATTTTCAACAGAGTAAAACTGAGGGTTGGTTTTGAAAATTCATACTACATTGGATCAGCAGTCCCCAAATTAAGTAGCTACTAAATGATAAGACCAGAAATAATTTAATCATATACAGACATCAAAAAAATCGATCATTTTCATACACAAACAAGCAGAATAGCAAATTGTTCATCCAGGAGTAAATTGTCAAAAGTCCTTCCATTGCACAATAAAAAATAAAAAAAAAATTCTAGTTAGTTAGATTACTGGATAAAAATTGTTGATAATATTATAAATAACTCAAAGCATCAAAAAAATAGTTGGTTGATTATGTTGAGATTTTCTTGGATATAACATTCTACCTCACTATGGAAAACACACTCACTTATCAAAACAAATAAATCAATAAAAAGAAAAAAATTAGAGGTGTAGAGCACACATCACCGTAAAAATGTACGGTAAAACAAATGAACTGAGGAAATTAAATGCAGCATTTGGTTTAGAGAAGATATCGTAGGCCTGATAATACTCGGAATAAAGATGTTAAAAAAAGAAAAATCCTGTTAAGGAACCATGGGCGCATTGACTGCAGTAGCAGCAAGCTCCCCTCTTAAGGCACCAACAACAGCTTCAGCTACTTCAATTGCCACTCCTTCCTGCACATCAAACCCAAATATTAAATGATAACATGATGTCAAAAGACATATAAAGCATGAACAGGTGTCAAGTTTTGTCATTTTAACACACCTGAGCTTCCATAGTACTGGCACCAAGATGCGGGGTTACAGTTACTCTATCATGTAGTATCAATTTGCTGTCTTTTGGTGGTGGCTCTTCAGTGAAAACATCAAGTGCAGCCTGCAAGAAAGAGGAATGTTATTCACTTTCTTCCACAAATAACAGAATTTTAGTGGTTTTTGAGCAAGAAAGAACCTGAGCAACAATGCCCGCATCCAGTGCCTTCACTAAAGCTTCTTCATCAATTACTCCCCCACGAGCAACATTGACAATCCGAACTCCTTTCTTCATCTTTGCAAAAGTTTGGTCATTGAGAATTTTTGATGTAGCAGAAGTGAGAGGCATATGAAGTGAGATGAAATCAGCAGTTGCTATGGCTTCATCAAAGCTCACAAGCTCCACACCTATAGCACGGGCACGATCTGCTGGGGCATATGGATCATGTGCAATCACCTGCATACCAAGCCCCTTGGCACGCCTGGCAACTTCTGATCCAACCTTTCCAAAACCCATCACAGCAAGTGTTTTGCCAACAAGGGACACACCCACATATTTGTTCCGCTCCCACTTCCCTGTATTGGCCAAAATATGATATATTAAGAGGATATAATATTTCTAGACTGTTACATAGGCCTCCAATGGTTCATCTTTTTTTTTTTGTTTCACCAAATTTGAGTAAAAATTTAAGTAAAACCTTCTTTTGATATCAAGTGTTCCAACGGAGCTTCATCAAACCACCGGTTGACCAGGCGGGTGTAAGGCCGGTCAACCAGCTAGTGTAAATTTTTCGCAAATTTTTGCCTTGAGGTGGCATCCAGGGAGACATCCAGTGGTGAAAATCTAACGGCAATGAATAATGATTTGATGAAAGGTGCATTTGTCCTCAATTTGATGAAAGATTTGAGAAATCTTGGATTTGATGAACGGTTGGAGCAACAAAAAGTAAGCTTTTTCATCAAATTTAAATTTGATAATCTATTTGATGAACCATTGGAGATGGCCTTAGACCAACCTCTAACATGTAGAAGGAACAAGGCCAGTACTCAAAGGATCAATTGAAAACCCCCTATTAGCACCACACCAAATAATCAACAGAAACAATATAGGGTTATCAAATCATACAATCTAAACACTAGGTGATAGTATTCCAAGTACTTCGCCACCACTGCAGCTTGCAGGATTCCCAAACAGATGGCAAATTGCTAATCACTTGCATTAACCCAGAAATTTTACAGTGGAAAGTTTTGTAACACCATGATACAAAATACAACAAACAATTATGGGTTGTTGAAAGATCAACAAGAAGAGTCAACAATAAATAGGTTTTATGTTTTTTTTTCTCAGACCTCATCTGAAAAGCAAAAACCGGATGCATGCTTGTAAATTCTTCTACTTGTAGTACACAATTTAATTACGAAATCAAGCACATGCACGTGAAGCATGACTTAAGATTCTGATTCTTCTGAATACAAAACTACTCTTTCACCATTTCAACACAATCGTAGAATCTTTAATAATTAGTAAATAAATAAATAAAAGCAAATCCTATCTCGAAAACCTTAACATCCCGATAAGAATCAGATCTTGCAAGTCTTGGCCATTTGCAACTCAATCAGAATCTAAACTACCAGAAAGTTTAGGCCTTTTGCTTTCCAAAACAGAAAAATCAATAATCAAAAGAAGAGAATAAAAATAGTATATAATTACACGCATGTAAATCAGATCCAAATCAATCATTACCACATCAAAAACCTCTACCACACCACCTGTTCGAAGAAACGCCCAACACAAACAACACAACAACAAAAATTCGAATCATAAATAAATAGAACAAATGGAGTGAGCAAAGTGGCTAACCAGCTTTGACAGACGCATCGGCTTGAGCGATGTTCCGAGCCATGGCGGTGAGAAGCGCGATCCCATGCTCAGCCGCAGCGACGGTGTTAGCCGTCGGCGCGTTAACCACAAGACAACCGTGCTCAGTCGCCGCCGCTAGATCCACGTTATCGATCCCGACGCCGGCCCGTCCGACGACCCTGAGCCGGCCAGAGGACGCTTCGAACACATCGCGAGTGACTTTCGTGCCGCTTCGAACGATCAAAGCGTCACAGAGCGAGATCTTGGTGCAGAGCTCTTCGGGACTCAAGTTGTATGAGCAATCGACATTCGCAACGTCTTTCAAGAGCTTGAGACCAGCCTCACCGAGCTTCTCGGCGACGAGGATCGTGGGTTTGGCGTCCATGGACATCACCACGAAGACCGGCGCCGGCGGTCTGCGGCGGGGGAGGGAGACGGAGAAGCCGAATGCGGAGGAGAGAGAGAGCCTCGATGAGAGAGAGGAGGGAGGTGATTTCCTGAGAGAGGGGGCGGAGAGCAAGCTTGATGAAGTAGAAGCCGCCATTTTCAATATGCTCTTTTGAGAATCTCTGCTTCGTCTCTCTCTCGCTCGCTCTCGGTTGTTATATATTGCTAACTGGAGCTGTTTTGGGGGTGGGTGAGTCCACAAGGATCCTCTTTCCTAAAGTTTCTTAAAGTGGTGTGTTGTATGTGTGAGATTTAATGTTAAAAAATTGATGTGACTTGTCATTAAATCTCAACCATACAACACACCACTCTAGGAAACTTTATGAAAAAAAAAACTCTAGAGGATCCTTGCTCGGGTGAGTGGAGGTTGAGGGAGAGTGAGTACCGTTTTGGGGGAAGTTGCGTTTAAGCCCCTGCAATATTGCCTATTTACACTTTTTTGCGCCGAAGTTTAAAATCCGACGAGTTGCCCCCTCAGGCATAAAAAATTATCCCCTGGATTCGATTTGTATTTTAGGGGAATTACGAATAAGTGGTACAATCAATAAAATTATTATAAATCTATACAAAAATTTATCATTTATTTGTAATTTTTTTAGAAGCCTATACTGAAGTGGAATTTTTTTTTATATTTTATGTGACTTGCGCTGCTAAATATATGAGATCACATAATTAGTTTCTTTTTTTCATGTTTTTCTCTATGTGAGAAACTAATTATATAATCACGTAATAGGTTGGACGTATTAGATAACTTCCGATTGTTAGAATGTGAATATTTGTAATAATATTTTGAAAAAGATGTTGGTGAAATAAAATAATTTCTTTAAAAAAATCATCATTATTGTATTTCTTTCAAACTAGTTTACTGTTTCTTTTGTCATACAAAAAGTAACATTTTAAAAATAAATTAAATAGTAGACTTATAGGAGGTGGTTGCTGATGATGATAAAAAGGTTGTGAAGGGTGAAGATTCGTGGTAAAAAAAAAGTAAGAGAGACGGATAAAAGAGTTAGGAAATGATGATTGAACGAATGAATATGATAATTAAAGATAATCGGTAATGCGACATGTGTAAGTTAGCATTTGAAAAGTGTGAAGTTTGTAAAGAGATAATTGAAAGATGATGATGATAAGTTGGACCTTAGAGCGTTGTAAAAATATAAACCAAAAGAAATTAAATTAAAATTTTGAAGGAATGTACTCTTGAAAAATAGGTGTAAAAAGGTGGTTTTGTTGGGTAATAGAAGCTCACAATTTGGATTATTTCAAAGGACATCCTAATTATGAGAGATGTAAAAAAAATTGATCAAATTAATTAAATTAGATCGAAATTATTATATTTGGTTTATTTTTTAACAAGAATCAGTCTGTACAGTTTTTTAATTTGAATTTTTTCGACTTTGGCGTCGATTCAAGCACTTTGTATACGAAACTAAACCGAAACTGACCGTTTCAACATATATATACATATATATTATAATGATATTAATAAATATAATAAATTAATAACCTCAATTAATTAACTTTATCATCTCTATAATCTAAGTTAATAAACTCTTATTACATATAATTTTAATTTTAACTCATTATTCTTGAATATTTATTAATTTGTTTGTTTGTTTGTATTTTTGTTAATCTAAGAATTTGAAAGTATTTATTAAATGGATGGATTGTATATTTTTGAAGTGGTGGATAAATAATTAATTCAATGTTTTTATGTAAATTGGCAACTATGTTGTCATTTGACAAAAACTTTTTGGACAAATTACGCTAATAATCCCTAAAGTTTGGAACTTGTGTCGCTTTGGTCATTGACTTTTCAATTGTGATACATTTGATCCTGAATTTTGAATCTTGTTCCAAATAAGAACAATTGAATATACTATTGCTCAATTTCAAGAACAAAGTCGTCAATTTGATAAAATATAAACTAATTTGTCAAAAATAAATGTCAAAAAAATATTTTTGAATTTTAAAAAATTATTTTTACTCACCAAAAATAATTATATAAAATTGATAAATCTTTTACATATTATTTATTTATTTATTTATTTTTACCAAGTTAACTTTTATTAGTATGTGTTTGGATGATGATCATGTAATGGTTAGTTTTTTTTTTTAATGTTTTTTTATGGTTATTATGTAATAGATGGTTGTATTTGTTGTTAACGGATATTTTTGGATGATTATCTTGCAACGGATAGTTATTGGGCTTTTAATGTGTAATCGATATATTGAACATACACTATAACAAATAAGAGTTTTAGAGACCAAATATTTTGGTCTCTAAAAATGAAAATTTTGTTATAAAAGACATTTAGGGACCAATTTCTATCGTCATGAGGATAGTAGCTAAAATGTCGTCTTGAAAAGTCCAAAACAAGGCTTTTAGCGACAAAATTTTAAAAATGTCACTAATAAATAGACTTTTAGTGACAAAATAATTTGGTCTCAAAATGATTTTTTTTTTAGATAAAAAATTTGGTCCCAAAAGGATAATAATTCATCACTAATGTCTAATTTTTGTTACTAAAAATATTATAATGGCACTTTTCGCAAAAAAAAATATTTGGTCCCTAAAAAATAATTTTGTCTTTAAATTTTGATCTTTAAAACCTTAATTTTTTGTAGTGATATGAAATACTTTTAGTTTTAAATTTTTTGATTTAATAGATTGGTTTAATAATGATATCAAAGTTGTCGCCACATTTGACTTTTAAAAAAATAAAAACTAATTTAATAAAAATAAAAACAACCACTCATTACATAATCATTATCCAAACATATATTAAAAATTAATTTGTTAAAAATAAATAAATAAATATGTAAAAGATTTATCAATTTGATATAATTTTATCTTTGGTGGGTATAAATAATTTTTAAACATTAAAAAATAATTTTTTAATATTTGTTTTTGTCAAACTAATTTATATTTTATCAAATTGACCACTTTGCCCTTGAAATTGAGTAATAGATTTTCAATTGTCCTTATTTGAAACAAGATTCAAAATTAAGGGTCAAATGTATTACAATTGAAAAGTCAGGAACGAAAGTGACACAAGAACCAAACTATAGGGACCGTTAGTGTAATTTGTCCAAACTTTTTTAGTTAACTTTTTTGAGTTGAGACTTTTATAGCTTGGGATTAAAAAGTTCGTTTGAATTTATTTTTTTTATTTTAGTAAGAGAAAAAATCAAATAGTTTTACTTTAGATGTGACATTTTATCTTATTAACTTTTTAGTCTTATTAACTTTTTAGTCTATTTTGTCTTTAGCGGCTATTTTAGTCCCAATTGACATTACCAAACGATGGCCTATATTAAAAAAGTAATTCAAATTTGAAAGATCCTAAACTGGTTATGTCGTACCAAAACAAACCATTTCAATTCGTTTAGTTTGGTGTGGTTTAATGAGAAAAATAGTCTATATTAATACTTAAAATAATAAAACTAACATTATCGATTTAATGGAAAAATTTACCTAAATACAAATAATACCAAACCAATTACATCCCTAATAATTACTGCCAAGGATAGTGTAATTATTTGTTATTCTCATTATTTTATGATCAATTGTCCCAATTGCTTGTAATTTTTTCAAATAAAAAAAAAAGAAAAAAAAGTTGCTTGAGTGGGATGACGCCGGAAGGATCGAACCCGGTTGGTGAAAGTTTGAAGATCTCAAATTTTGTTTACGTTCTGAAAAGAAAATTTCAAAAATAAAACAAAAAAAAGTATGAAATTAAATAAAATATAAATATATTTTTTTATTTTTTTTCATTTTTAAATTTTCTAACTAAATAAAACAGGCTGGATTTTCTCAATCGATAGTTTCACCAGTTGTATGTGAAGTTGATAGATATTCTATACCACCTGCAAAGGCTAATATGTCTTGCCAAAATTTTAATAGACACTACTTTAAAAAAGACACACTACTTTGTTGGTGTAATTTTTCTTAAATTAAAAGTTAATAATTAAAAAGTAAAAATTAAAAATATTTCTTCTTTAATTTTTAAATAATCAATTTTTTTTACTTTATTTAAGTTATTTCTGTCTAATAAATTATAAGTAAAAGTTGCACTAAACAGTCTAGTACAGACTCCCAAACTAAAATAAATTACAATCACCTCTTAAAAGTTGTATCAAATAGCCCCACTGTATGCATCTTAGTTATATTATTTTTTTAATTATGATATTATTTTAATTATGACTAATAAATTATTTAGTTATGTCTCATATTGTGTTTAATTATGATATTTTTTTAATTATAGCTTAAAAAATTAAAATTATATGATTTTTTTAGTTATAGAGTATATATGATACACTCTTTAAAAAGTGTGCACCTGTTGACTACATATTTTATATAAGCCAAACACAACTTAACACGTGACACGAGGAGGGCAATTGGAGAGTTAATATGAGTTGCCAATCAGGTCGGACACGTGGCAGTTCGTATTGATAATAATGGATCTGCGTAGCACTGGAACATTTGAGAGATACAAGATGATGTGGCCAAACGGTTACTCATAAATTTAAATTCAAAATCAGGAGGAAAGCCTAATTGCAAAAGTGGCGTAGTGAGACTAATTGTAAGAGAGCATGTTCAGCAATCATGGGAGGATGCTTCGACGGTTGGAAGCCCACTTCGACGGTTACCACTAGGAAGTATAAATAGCAAGGAAGGCCCCAAAATGAAAGACCCAAACTCAGATCCAGAAACCAGTTTATTTACTTCATTTTCTTTCCAGTTTTACATTTCCGGTTCTTTATATTTCCAGCACTTCAATTCTTGTACTGCACTTCAATCTCTAGGAGTAATTTTTTAGTAGTTTGTTGCTGTGAACCTCGTCGAGGCTGGGCCATTGTAACTTCATTGTAAGTTTTCATTTGCTTAATGAAATTCGATTTCTGAATTATATTTACTTGTTACTATTTATAATTTTCTCCTAAACAAACCACCAGTAAAAGTCCTCTTCATTGAGGTTGAAAGAACTTCAACATAATCGCTTGATAATTGGTTGGCAATTACAAATTCTCTAAGGACTAATTGATCCTCGCCGGCACGCTTAAATTTACACTATTAATCCTTGAAAACCAAAAAAGGCAACATATATTTTTGGCACGCCCGGTGAGACACTAAAATGGCTAGACATAGGAGACAAGGA